CTTTCTCTTCTCTCTGCCTCTTCCCTGCTCTGCTTTTCATCTGTCCATATTGTCGGAAGTTTGACTTCTAAACTTCCTTCGGTTATCTACTTATTAAGTGGCATGATATATAACTATATTACACTCATATATACATAGAAAGAGAGAGAACTAAAGACATTCCAGATATCACCGGTTTATAATCTGGTTCTTGCCCACTTACGACATAGGTTCAACAACGGATTAGTACACTTTCTTGATTACTGAGGGAGGTCCCCAGCAAAAAAACATGATAGATTCCTCTTGCACTTGGTACCTCCCATTGGTAAACTCAGGTTCGTCAATTACAAGTGGTAAACCTGGTAAATCCTAAAGCGTAAAAATCATGAACCATCCCTAATGTTACCATAAATGGGATCCAAACCATCCCTAAATGTTTGTTGTAGCTGTTCATTGTTATCATTTGGTTAATCACATTACATCACATCAAGTATAAAATTACATCAGCTATAGGTGGGATACTTTTTCCACCCGATGCGTTGCTTCGGACCGGCGCCTGTGGCGCCTGCGGCCAGGGCGGAAACTCGGCTGGTGGAAGCCATTGTCTATTACCTCGGTGTAGCAACATCAGCTGGTGCCGTGTGTGGGAAAAGTTTGAAAAGTCCCTTGAAATACCATCATTGTTGCTGTGTGATGCTCTTGAGGATCCTCAAAGTGGGTCAAATAGATCTATTTGTCGGTGGGCGTCCATGGCTAGCCTTGGGTTCTGGATATCTTGAACAAAAGGATTGTCTTTACATGGGTAGTGCCAAATTCTGTCCAGGGGGGGCATTTTGGGGACAACTTTCATGCCACAAGCGCAGGAGCAAGGAAGATCAAGGAAGAACATCATGTCACGGATGGAACTTGGAGTAACTTGGGGATCGCAGCAGTACCAGATCCAAGGGACGTCAAAATGTAACAGGTTGCTTTAACCCTCAAACTACAGGAGGTTCCTGGCAACTCGGGGCGACTTGAGATGCTCAGCCTGTTGACATTGTGATTTCCACGGGTAGACATGGTCTGACTACTGCATGAACACTCGAATCAGCTCACAACTTCAAATCTCTTTGTGGGTAGCAAAAAACAATAGTCATAATGATAGTAATTGTAAACTCAACAGACTTGTCTCTTAAAGCGTATGATACTCCTCACCTGCACCGAGTTGTTTCAATGCAACTGCAAACAAGCAACTGAACTATGCCAAAAAAAAGGAATCGGCCAAAAATGGGAGCAGCTTTTGCTCACACAGCCAATGCTTAAAACAGATATCTCGAGCCATCCGTTGCGCCAGTTTTTTGCAGTTGTGATGAAAAACTGATCAACAAGCTACAAGCAGTCAGCAATCAAAGAATATGCCATCGATTGTACCATGCACAGCAAAACAACTTTCTGCAGCGAAATGCATCATTATCATCATTGTTCCAGGTCAAATCACTTCATCGAGTCAAAAAGGTTGACCAATCCATGATTCGCCACCTTCCAGGCCTACCTTGACCACCTGTTTTGCAAAGTGGTGACTTAGTGCAGTCACTCCCACAGATGGCATCTCGTTCCATGAATGACCAGTTCCAACAGTGGATCAACAGGCCCTTTTCTCCTCGGTTCGGCAGGTCCGATCCAAAATGGTGGCACCTAAGTGGACTCGGCGCGCAAAGGAGATGCTGTGTAGTTGGCCCAGTCTCCCCCGGCGCTTCCGGTCAGACCATCCTGGGACATGGAAGTTATGGCAGAGATCAAACGCACAGGGTGGCAGCATCGAGATTGTTGATAATTCTAGAAAAACCATGGTATGATTCTGATATGATATGATATGATATGATGTAATATGACATGCTTTGATATTGCGCAACATGATATGCAATCGCAAACCATGTATACGATTTCTTTAGTAAACAAATGAATAGCATCAAATCTGCAACCGTCATTTCTTTGTGCATGTTTCGACGGCATTATATCAATTGTACAACCTGTTCATGTCACATCATGAAACTATTCATTCCCGGCACATTCTACAACTCACCTTTTGGACAAACATTAGTAAGTATAGCGGTGACACAGCGCTGCACCGCGCAGTACTGCCAAGGAGTTTCCCTCAGATGGTTGTGTCTCAAAATGGGGGAATCCAAAACGTTGGCCAAGAATATCGCAATTTTTAAGGTGGTGCTGATGATGATGATGATGATGATTATGATGATGATGATGATGGATGATGACGGATGATGATGGATGATGATGGATGATACTGGATGATGATGGATGGTGATGGATGATGATGGATGATGATGGATGATGATGGATGATGATGGATGATGATGGATGATGATGGATGGTGATGGATGAGGATGGATGAGGATGGATGAGGATGGATGAGGATGGATGAGGATGGATGAGGATGATGATGATGATGATGATGATGGATGGTGATGGATGATGATGGATGATGATGGATGATGATGGATGATGATGGATGATGATGGATGATGCTGGATGATGATGGATGGTGATGGATGATGATGGATGATGATGGATGATGATGGGTGATGATGGATGGTGATGGATGATGATGGATGAGGATGGATGAGGATGGATGAGGATGGATGAGGATGGATGAGGATGGATGAGGATGGATGAGGATGGATGATGATGGATGATGATGGATGATGATGGATGATGATGGATGATGATGGATGATGATGGATGATGATGGATGATGATGGATGATGATGGATGCTGATGGATGATGATGGATGCTGATGGATGCTGATGGATGCTGATGGATGCTGATGGATGATGATGGATGATGATGGATGATGATGGATGATGATGGATGGTGATGGATGATGATGGATGATGATGGATGATGATGGATGATGATGGATGATGATGGATGATGATGGATGATGATGGATGATGATGGATGCTGATGGATGCTGATGGATGATGATGGATGATGATGGATGATGATGGATGATGATGGCTGATGATGGATGGTGATGGATGATGATGGATGATGATGGATGATGATGGATGATGATGGATGCTGATGGATGGTGATGGATGATGATGGATGCTGATGCATGCTGGTGGATGCTGATGGATACTGATGGATGATGATGGATGATGATGGATGATGATGGATGCTGATGGATGATGATGGATGATGATGGATGGTGATGGATGATGATGGATGATGATGGATGATGATGGATGATGATGGATGATGATGGATGGTGATGGATGATGATGGATGATGATGGATGATGATGGATGATGATGGGTGATGATGGATGATGATGGATGATGATGGATGATGATCATCACAAAGTAAGGGTTTCAATTTGGTCCCGATTTGAGTTCAAGTCCATGGGAGCTGCAGAATCTCGTCCAACTCAGTACGGAAATGGTGGTTGGATTATTCAAATTAATACATAGCTGGTGGTTGAGCCACGCCAAAGTTGAAATCAACATCCTAGAAATGCACTCAAAGACCAGCAAACGTCAACCAGCTCAGTGCAATTGGGTCATGTTGCCTTAATCTGCCAGCCAAATCTGCCGGCTACAGGTGTGATGATCGATGCAAAGTCTGAGTATTGATAAGTATTGGCAGCGAATACGGACAAATTTCGCTGTCGAAGCGGTCCTTGAGGCATCCAAAGCTAACAAGGCTTAGAGGCTGAGTCTGCCACGAAGTTTCCCTCCCGGAAGAATGTGGCGTGAGAAAAGCGCCTGATCACTTCCAGCCTCGTTTACATCACATCTGAAATTGAAGCTTAAACTACTGCTGCTCATTAGTGTTTGAAAACTCCTGGAAGACAACAAAAGCACACCGAGCACACCGAGATGCCAAGCCGGCCAAGCCTGTGCGGGTCGACCTGAGGAAACATCGGCATGGCCCAAGCACACATAGCAAATAGAAATCTCGGAATTACATCAAGCATCATGGCAATGTCCTTTGCGGGGTGTGTATATAATACATATAATATATATATATATAATTAATACTCATATATAAATAAATATGAAAAAATTAAAGGACCGGATAACCCCACATGTCAACTTCTTCTAACAAGCAGCAAAAGAAAGTAAAGATAGCAGGAAAGGGAAAAGAGATGGTGAAGGATTGGTGTGGAGCAAGTTGTGTGTGGAAGAGTAAGTACGAGTAAGTTGTGTATGGACACGTTGTGTTGTATGCATGTATGTATGTATGTATGTATGTATGTATGTATGTATGTATGTATGTATGTATGTATGTATGTATGTATGTATGTATATATGTATGTATGTATGTATGTATGTATGTATGTGGATGGATGGATGGATGGATAGACGGATGGATGGATGGATGGATGGATGGATGGATGGATGGATGGATGGATGGATGCATATATATATATGGTGTCAAATGGCTACAGATGACGCAGGTACGACAATCTCATCCGCTGCAAACATGCAGCAGAGGTACATGCCCAGTCGATGTCACCAAGTACCACGCATGCCGCGTGAAACGAGGGTGGATGTCTTCAAGTGCCACGCCTGCCACGCCAACAGCCGCGGCGTCCCCGCGTTCCACGCCGACCCAAGCGTGCCACCGGAGCCAGTGTCATTTTTCGGAAGCACAGCTACATGAGCACCGTCAGCTGCAACAGCACTAGCAAAGATCACGACATCGCAGCGTGGTGGACCTGCCAAGCGACTGTGGCAAGTGTAGTAATGTAGCTCCCACTGAAAGCAGGCAACACAAGAACAGTGTAACCGATTGCACAGAAAGTGTTTTGATCTGTCATGAACGTGATCTTTTTTTCTGTCCATCACATGGCCGCGTCAGGCGCCAGATCTTCGCACGGCGCGTCAATCCATCCAAGCAAAGCTAGCTCCCTTGGCTATAAACGGTATATACTGCACACGGAATCTGGATCAAGTCCAAGACAAGGTAACAGCCACATCGAACATCACGGACGACTACGGACAACCGCGGACGGTTACAAAGTCCAGAAAGTCTCCTCCAGTTGCACTTCTGCGATACACAGCCAAGCGGCATATGGCAACGACACCTCCGCTGCAGACTCCCACGCGGCACGCAGCATGCCGAGGTCGCCCACAGCAGTTTCAAACTGACTCTTATGGTACCTGCTGACGAAGGCATGAAAGTCACGCCAGGAGGTTCCTTGTGGCACGACCGCTTCCAGCTGCAACACTGCTGCGTTATTCTCCAGAACCTGAAGAAGGGACCAGTCGTCAAGTCGTCAAGTGCCACGCCTGCCACGCAAAAGGCCGCGGCGTCACGGCGCCATGGCTGACCAAGCGCGCCACTAGAGCCAACCCAGTGCCATAAGTGCCACGCCTGCCACGCAAAGTAAAAATCCATGTCATCAAGTGCCACGCCTGCCACACAAAGTGAAGGTGGATCGAAGGTAGATGTCACGAAGTGCCACGCCTGCCACACAAAGTGAAGGCAGATGTCACGAAGTGCCACGCCTGCCACGCAAAACGCCGCGGCGTCACGGCGCCATGGCTGACCAAGCGCGCCACCAGAGCCAACCCAGTGCCATAAGTGCCACGCCTGCCACGCAAAGTAACAATCCATGTCATCAAGTGCCACGCCTGCCACACAAAGCGAAGGTAGATGTCACGAAGTGCCACGCCTGCCACACAAAGTGAAGGCAGATGTCACGAAGTGCCACGCCTGCCACGCAAAAGGCCGCGGCGTCACGGCGCCATGGCTGACCAAGCGCGCCACCAGAGCCAACCCAGTGCCATAAGTGCCACGCCTGCCACGCAAAGTAACAATCCATGTCATCAAGTGCCACGCCTGCCACACAAAGTGAAGGTGGATGTCACAAAGTGCCACGCCTGCCACGCAAAACACCGTGAGAGTAAGTTGTGTGTGAGCAAGTTGTGTGTGTGTGTGTGCAAGTTGTGTGTGAGCAAGTTGTGTGTCCATAAGTGCCACGCCTGCCACGCAAAGTAACAATCCATGTCATCAAGTGCCACGCCTGCCACACAAAGTGAAGGCAGATGTCACGAAGTGCCACGCCTGCCACGCAAAACGCCGCGGCGTCACGGCGCCATGGCTGACCAAGCGCGCCACCAGAGCCAACCCAGTGCCATAAGTGCCACGCCTGCCACGCAAAGTAACAATCCATGTCATCAAGTGCCACGCCTGCCACACAAAGTGAAGGTGGATCGAAGGTAGATGTCACGAAGTGCCACGCCTGCCACACAAAGTGAAGGCAGATGTCACGAAGTGCCACGCCTGCCACGCAAAACGCCGTGAGAGTAAGTTGTGTGTGAACAAGTTGTGTGTGTGTGTGTGCAAGTTGTGTGTGAGCAAGTTGTGTGTGTGTGTGCAAGTTGTGTGTGTGAGCAAGTTGTGTGTGAGTAAGTTGTGTGTGTGTGCAAGTTGTGCGTGAGTAAGTTGTATGTGAGTAAGTTGTTGTGTGTGAGTAAGTTGTGCGTGAGTAAGTTGCGTGTGAGTAAGTTGTGTGTGAGTAAGTTGTGTGTGAGAAAGTTGTGGTGAGCAAGTGAGCAAGTTGTGTGTGTGTGAGCAAGTTGTATGTGAGAAAGTTGTATGTGAGCAAGTTGTGTGTGTGTGTGCAAGTTGTGTGTGAGCAAGTTGTGTGTGAGTAAGTTGTGTGTGTGTGCAAGTTGTGCGTGAGTAAGTTGTATGTGAGTAAGTTGTGCGTGAGCAAGTTGTGTGTGAGCAAGTTGTGTGTGAGCAAGCTGTGTGTGGACAAGTTGTGTGAGGACAAGTTGTGTGATGACAAGATGTGTGTGAGCAAGTTGTGTGATGACAAGATGTGTGTGAGCAAGTTGTGTGATGAGCAAGTTGTGTGATCACAAGATGTGTGTGAGCAAGTTGTGTGATGACAAGATGTGTGATGACAAGTTGTATGTGGAAGGTGTGGAGGCGGACGACGGGAGGCGGACGGTGTGGAGGCGGACGACGGGAGGCGGACGGTGTGGAGGCGGACGGGGGGATACAGAACCAAAAACAAGAACCCCACACAAAGATGTGGGGAAATATATTGCATTTGCAGTGTCAATGTAAATCAGCAAATCATGTTCACATCGAAAGACATAAGTCTCAATCTCTATGTCAGCACTTGTGGCCGGACTTCGCGAGGCTGGATGGTGCAGCACAGGTGGCTCAGTTGTGCAGCTAGCAGTGCTAGCAGTAGCCCCACCAATTACCCTGACAGCTGCGATCGGACACCTTGCACCATAGGCCATTCGGATCGTTGTCCGGATTGCCGCAATACTGAGCATTCACGCCCGCATAACGCCACGCCTGCTTGCAGTCGCAGCCCTTTCTTGTCTTGGTCCCTGCATTTTCGGGTGGAGGGGGAAGAGGCTTGGGGCAAATCTTCCACCCAACTTTGGTAACCTGGGTTGAGCCACCCCTCATAGGAGAGTCGTTGGGGATCATCATCATATTTCTTTGGAAAATAAAAATGTTTGAAACCAGCAACCAGAAACGGAGTAATCCGAGAACCACTTTATCTCTCCGCTGGGTTCTTTCCCCTGTGGTCGCCTTCTGCCCGAGTACTTGTTCCCATTCACCGTCAAATAGTCATAGCCACTCTCCACGTTGAAGTCTTCCACCTCCATTAGTTTTGGTTCAACCACATCGAACTCGCACTCCTCGTAGTTGTCGTACCTCGTGGCCGCGTCCTTGTCATAGTTTGGGCTCAAAATACAACCGTAGGCATCAACGGTGCAGGGGCCTTTGGTGAGTTTCCACGGCTGAGCACCGGCTGTTGTGGTGGCGATTGTGGTGGCAGTTGTTGTAGTGGTAGCTGTAGTGGTGCTTGTGGTTGTGGTGGTTGTGGTTGTGGTAGTAGCGGCGGTCGTGGTGGTTGTGGCAGTAGTGGTTGTCGTGGTAGTAGTGGTGGTCGTGGTGGTCGTGGTAGTAGTGGTGGTCGTGGTTGTTGTGGAGGTTGTGGAGGTTGTGGAGGTTGTGGAGGTTGTGGAGGTTGTGGAAGTTGTGGAAGTTGTAGTTGCAGCTGCAGTCGTAGTTGTGGTGGTGGCTCCAGCCGTGGTGGTAGTGGCCCCAGCGGTGGTGGTCGGTGGAGGTGTTGTGGGACCCCAGCAGTATCCCCAATTGGTGCCCTGGCAAGCTGCGTCAGTGAAGCACCAAACACCTCCTGGATCATTGTCGTGGTTTGCGCAAGAGGAGGTGCACTGGCAGCCCTTGTCTTTGGTGGTGGGTGAAGAGGCAACCCAACGGTCAATCACGGCCTGATAGACCTGTGATGGGTTCAAACCACTTGGCGGTGACTCAGTGCTTCCTTCAAGTGGAAATCCATACCCTGCACTGCTGCCTGCCAGGCTGGTCTTAGGGATGGTGAAATCGGTGAGCACGCACCAAGCCACACGGAAACTGCCAGACTCGCCCCAGTGGGGACCCCAGGAGTTAAGGACAATCCAGTGGTCTGTGCCCCATCCAATGGCAGTGACCTCGTGATTGGGACTTCCAGTGCAGTCATGGCTGAAGACACCTCCAGAATATGCCATAAATCCTCCATCTGCGTAGATGCCTGCCGGAATGGGGCCCCCACTCATGATAGCTTCCTTGGCCAACTGGTACACCAACGTGGGATACGGATGGCCCAGGGAGTAGACCTCAGGGTTTACAAATCTGCTTATCAATGGATCCTATGTCTGTCCTGATTTCTAGAAAAATAACTGTATTCAAGCCAAGCAGTCGCCGCCTGTGCGGGTGGCGGAAGTTTCCACAAGGACAACGTGCTCCCGCAGGAATGCGACCAAGGATTTGCCGAAAGGACTTAATTAAGTTGTTGCTTCCCCAACAAAACCACAAGAGTGTTTGAAGCCTCTCGCTTTTTTTTGAGATGGGTTTTGTCTTGAATGACCTGTTCAGCAACTCCTGTGCGAGCCTCGATTTTAGCCACCTCTGCGAGTCCCATTTCTGTTCTTCTTGCAGCTCTTTTGGATCCAATTCCTTTCTTGAGTAAAAAAAAAGTTGACTATTCTCCGGAGTCCTTCTTGCAAGGTCTTGTCTGAATTCGTCTTTCTCTTTAAGACGCTTCTGTCGAGCCGACTCTTCCACGGACTTCTTCCCGTGAGTTGCCTCTTTGTCTGTATCTTCCGACTTATTATTCCATCTAATGCTCCTTTCTACAGTTGCTTCTCACATCCGTATAAGTGGCTCACTGCTCTCCTCTCGTCTACTCTACCCAATGTATATATATATATTGTTTTTTCCCTACTGCTCTTCTCGTCTCTTCTTCACTCTACTCTCTACTCTTCTCCTCTCCTGAGCTAGCTGCTAAGTCTTATTTTCAAACACCTCACACACCGTTCCGTTTCACAACTCGGAGTTTTGTGCAGCTGGCAAAAAAGAGTTCCAAACACACTAGAACTGCGCGCACTGGCAAACCAACTTGCTACCCCAATACCAACTCGCGATGCCCACAGTAAAATTATGTAAAATTCAAGCACTTTGGGCAACGAGAAAACCTTGCCACAGCCGCAGCCATTCCTCCACGGAGCAGCTCCAGAGCTCCAGGACGATGACCAGCCGACACCCACCAACGCACATGCCCACATGATCACATTTACTAAGAAAACACAACACACAACACCTCATAGAATTTCTACCTTCAGATCTTACCTTCTCTGCTCTTCCAGGATAGACTCGACTTTACTCCTACTCCAATTTATACTCTACTGCTCTCTTTTCTAGGCTTCTCTACTCTGCTCATGCAATATTCCACACTTTCAGTCATTTGGAGTTTCTTTGTACTCTACCGTTCTCTACTTTTCTCTACTCGACTCAACTGTTCTCTACTTTGCGCTGCGCAACGCGACTCTACTCTACTCCGCTCTTCGCTTCTCTTTGCGCAGCTGTGAAACATAACTCAGAGTTTCAATAAAAGAAGATCATCAAATCAGCACATCTTCGGCCTGATTTCCAGTTTGAGAAGAAAATCAATCTCCAAAAACATTAAAAAAACCATCGGGGAAAAAAATCCAACCTCAATGAATTGATCCAATCCCAGTTTGAAGGTATCAGCATGCAAGGCTTTCTGGAAAGCGCTGTTGCCACAGGTGGTCGGGCAGCTGGGCGCAGCGTTACTGGTGGCGAAGTGCTCGGTGCCCTGGCCGTGTGCGAAGTATGGCGAGCACCCCAAATCTCCACCTGACCGGCGAGTTGTGGATGCTTGGCTTTTCACAGTAGTCAATAGATATTCAA